GGAGGCTGAGGTGAGAGGATGGTTTGAGCCTGGCAGGTGGAAGTTGCATTGAGCCAAGATCAAGCCACTGTATTCCAGTCTGGGTGACAGAGCCAGACCCTCTCTCAAAAAAAAAAACAAACAAAGAATAGGGGGATCCCAGGAAGCAGCCTAGTCTGGGAGTCTGTAAGCTAAAGTCATCCAAGAAAACTCTGAAAGCCTAAGGCCCACTGACAACCTGGGGACATTACTGATAGCTGTTTTGCATCTTGAGCAGATTCCTGTGGACCCGCAGAGCAATGATCCAAGTCAGTCTGACAAACAGGACGTTCTCTGCCTATGCTTCAGCCCCTCAGAGGAAACTCTGGTTGCCAGCACCAGTAAGAACCAACTCTACAGCATCACCATGTCCCTGACAGAAATCAGCAAGGTGAGTCTTCCCAGCAATGGTCCTTCCAGACCAGGACCCGTGTGCCTGGCTGGGGGACTGGTCACCATGTGGGCAAATTTTAATCCAAATAAGTTAGCATAAACTCATGCATCCCCTTCACACAGAGCAAAACAAAATTCTAATTTTAAGATGTTCACATAGAAGCATGCTGATGGACTCAGTGGGACTGTGATTGCTCCAGTAACTTTGGAGGACACATTGGCATTGTCTCAGATTTAAATCCCACATATCCTTTTACCCAGAAATTGCATTTTAAGGCATTTAATCTATTGCTATATTTGCTCATGTACACAAATGTGTATATATAAAAATGTTTCTTTTTCCTTTTTACTGTTTTGGAATAACAAAGAAAGCTGGTATAAATACACTGCAGACATTACAATAAGAAAAGCACTATTAAAGACAGAGATCATATTGTACTTAAAATGGCTAGGTACCAATAAGATACTACAATTTTAAGTCTGTATGTACCTAATACCATAGATTCAAAATATATAAAGCGAAACTGGACAGAACAACAAGGAAAATAAACCATCTACAATCACAGTAGAAGATTTAACATATCTTTCTCAGTAATGGTGCTTTTTTTTATAACAGCTCAATTGAGTTATGATTCACATACAAATTGCCTATTCAAAGTATACAATTCAGTTGTTTTTAGTATATTCAAAGAGTTATGCAACCATTTATCATAGACAGCCTTCAGACATTTTTATTACCTCAAAAAACTAAAAAGCCATACCCTTTAGCTATTATTATTCCTCCATCCTCCCAATTATCACCCGTCCCACCCCAGCCCTAGGCCACCGCTTACCTACTTTATGTCTCTATATATAGAATTGCCTATTCTGGACATTTCATACAAATGGAATCATAAAACGTGGACTTCTATGACTGGCTTCTGTGACTTAGCATAATGGGTTTTGTTGTTGTTTTGACGCAGGGTCTCGCTCTGTTGCCCAGGTGGGAGTACAGTAGTGCAATCATGGCTCACTGCAGCCTTGACCTCCTGGGCTCAAGCAATCTTCCCACCTCAGCCTCCGAAGTAGTTAGGACTACAGGTACACACCACCACATCCAGCTAGCTTTTGTGTTTTTAGTAGAGACAGGGTTTTGCCACGTTGCCCAGGCTGGTCTTGAGCTCCTGAGCTCAAGCAGTCCACCCACCTTGTCCTCCCAAAGTGTTGGGATTACAGGCATGAGCCTCCACACATGGCCAGTTTTCAGTGTTCATCCACGTTGTAGCATGTATCAGTACTTCACTCCTTTTTTATGGCCAAATAATATTTAATTATGTGGATATACTACATTTTATTCACCAAATTTGTATATTTGGGTTGTTTCTACCTTTTGGCTTTTATGAATAATGCAACTAGTTTTTATATGGATGGGTTTTCATTTCTCTTCCTAGAAGTGGAATTGCTAAGTCATATGGTAACTTCATGTTCAATTATTTGAGGAACTGTCAGACTGTTTTCCAAAGTTACTGGACCATTTTATATTCCCATAAGCAGTATATGAGCATTCTGATTTCTCTATATCCTTGCCAAAACTTGTTATTATCTTTTTTATTATAGCCATCTTAGTGGGTAAGAAGTGGTATCTCATTGTGGTTTTGATTTGCATTTACCTGATGATTAATGATGAACATCTTTTCATGAACATCTTTTCAAAAATTTGTAATTCTTCTTTGAAGAAATATCTATTCAGATTTTTTGCCCATTTAAAAAATTGAGTCATATGTCTTTTTATTATTGAGTTGCAACAGTTATTTATATATTCTAGATATAAGTCCTTTATCAGATATGTGATTTGCAAATACTATGTCCCATTCTGTGGGTTGTCTTTTCACTTTTTTGATGTTGTCCTTTGATGAACAGTTTTCAATTTTGATGAAATCGAAATCGAATTTATTTTTCTTTTGTTGGTTGTGCTTTTCGTGTTATATTTAAGAAGCCAATGCCTGAGGTCATGAAGATTTACCCCTATATTTCTTCTAAGAGTTTCATAGTGCTAGCTCTTGCATCCAGGTCTTTAATCCATTTTGAATTCATTTGTGTATATGGGATGGTATAGGGGTCCAACTTCATTCTTTGGCATGTAGATGTCCAGTTGTCACAGCATCATTTGTTGAAAAGGCTAGTCTTTCTCCATTGAGTAGTCTTGGCATCTTGATGGAAATCAGTTGACACATGGGTTTGTTTCAGGACTCCCAATTCTGTTACGTTGATCTAGCTGTCTGTCTTTATGCCAGTACCACACTGTCTTGATTACTGCTGCTTTGCAGCAAGTTTTAAAATTGAGAATTGTGAATCTTACAACTTTAGTCTTCTTTATCAAGATTGTTTTGGGTAGTCTGTATCCCTTGCAATTCTATATGGATTTTACAGTCAGCTTTTCAATTTCTACAAGAAGCCATCTGGGATCCTCATAGGGACTGCACTGAATTTATAGATCAATGTGAGGACTGTTGCCATCTTAACAGTATTAAGCCTTCCAATTCTTGAGCATGAGATATTTTCCATTTATTTAGGTTGTCTTTAATTTGTTTCAAGAATGTTTTATAGTTTTCAGAATATAACTTCTGCACTTCTTTTGTTAAATATTTCTGAAAAATTTTCTTCTTTTTGATGCTATTGTAAATTGAATTATTTTCCTAACTTCATTTTTGGATTGTTCATTCCAAATGTATAGAAATACAATTAATTTTTGCATACTGATCTTGTCTCCTGCAACCTTGCCAAACTCACTTATTAGTTCCAATAGTTTTTGTATTGGGTTATTCTGGCATTGCTATAAACGAATACCTGAGACTGAGTAATTTATAAAGAAAGAAAGTTTAATTGGCTCATGGTTCTACAGGGTGTACAGGAAGCATGATGCCCGCATCTGCTTCTGGTAAGGGTTCAGGAAGCTTACAATCGTGGTGGAAGATGAAGGGGTAGTAGGCGCATCACATGGTGAGAGCAGGAGCAAGAGAGGGAGGTGAGAGATGCCACACACTGTTAAACAACCAGATCTCTCATGAACTCACTCATCACCAAGGGGATGTCACTAAACCATTCATGAGGGATATGCCCCAATGATCCAAGCACCTCCCACCAGGTCCCACCTTCAACACTGGGGATTACATTTCAACATGAGATTTGGAGGAGACAAATATCCAAATTTTATCAGTGTTTTTAGGGAATTCCTTAGGATTTTCTATATATAAGATCATGACATCTGCAATAGAGGTAGTTTTAGCCTTCCTTTCCAATCTTTGAATGCCTGTAACTTATTTTCCTTGCCTAATTGCCATGGCTAGAACCTCTAGTCTCATGTCAAACATAAGGGATGGGAGCAGATCCTTGTCTTATTCCTAATCTTAGGGAGAAAGCATCCAGTCTTTTTTTTTTTTTTTTTTT